CTGTGTGAAAACCAGGCGAGGTAGAGCTCTTCATCGGGAATGTTGAGAGACTGTTTTTGTTACCCTCAATTTCTTGACTTCAGCGCCCTGGAGCAGTTTCTGGGAGAGGAGCTCACTCTACTTGATCCTCAGGCTTAAGACTGCTAGTCAGCCCAGGATTCAGGATGAGAGGCAAAAACAAATATGAATCGGGAAACTCCGAGAGAACAAATCACGCGCAACCCCACCAGATCCGAGGAGGTCGCGACGCTCTCTGCCCAGTGGGATAACATCGGGTTTCTAGGGTTATATCCAGGTAATGAAAAGAAAATGGAAACTACTATCTAGGGTTTGCTACCAAGAAATCAGAAGCAGACGCTGCGGGCAATGCCCGAGACCCGGGCAATCTTGTGCATCTGGAACTTCCGGAGCTCATTCAGGATGCTCTCATAGCAATCCTGGCTCGTTGCAAGAGGAGGTCGGGCAAGTGGCTAACCGATGCAAACTGCGCTCTGCATTCTTCCAGCGAGGACTTTGCAAAAGCGAAGCCGGACAGACAGGTCATCGCACAAGCACCATCCAGTCACCCCATCCATTTGCACTGCGTGCGGTCCTTGACACCATTGACCTCCGTGATGCAATCCTGAATAATTGTCGCAATGCGACCAGCAGGTTGAGATGCAGATGTCAGTGCTAAAGAAACACACCCAGCTCGCGGTCAGCTATCTGCTGATGATCCGTACCACTTTCAAGGATTAGCCGGAAGGCTTGCTGCTACTGGTTGCTCTAGCCACGATCCCTACTCTAAGTCCTGATGATGGACACTGATGTACTGCTGGCAATGAGTCGTCGGTCTCCGGAGAATCACGGCTTTTGCCAAACCCTAATCCCCAATCTAAGCAGGCGTCTGTGGCAAGCATTTCTCGAATGAGAATTGGGGCTTAGAGCCTGCAGCTCATAATGCAGCCAGGGCGCGTGGATCTTCAAAGCTTTATCTGGGTGTGCGTCGTTCCATGCCTGCTACAAGCCGTGGGGTCTTACCTCTGGCAAAGGATTCCATGAAGCGAGGCTCTGCAAACATGGCATGTCGCAAGCTCTTGAAACTTTCACCGTCGCAGCTAAGCATGCAATATACTATAATATACCATACTACACTATTACTATAACATAGTATATTATACTACAATGACAATATACTATAATTAATATCCTCAGATCTAACCATGACTCCTGCGACATATCAGGACAATCCTATTGATAGCGACCAAGCCTTGACGGGGCCTCGGCCAAGCAGAGTTGAGAAGGGTTGCTTTCTGCGTAAATTTGACAGTCAGGCAGTCATGAGTCTTGCAAGTAGCTGCTTGCAGGGCCTCTACGTGATACATACACATCCTTCTGGCTTTTGCCGGCCCTATCTGGTGTACCTGGTTTCTTGATACTCCAAGTCCAACCTCTGCACAAGCACAAACCATTTAGGTCTCCGGCCATCAATGATCTCTGTGATCACGCACAGGCCTTCTACGTCCTCAGTGCGAGGGCTTGGTGACAGGACAACTATGCAGGTGTCTGGACACCTGTAGAGTCGCTGTCACAAGGTCAGTACGGCACTTGGTGTTTTGATAAACGGCCCACAAATACAAGCCAAGATTCTGTTGTCGAGATGCCCAAGAGCTGGCCCTCAGCATGCTTCAAAGGAGCCGGTTGGACACTTCTCCGCCGATGCCACTAACCGCATCACATCTGACGTGGCCCACTACACAGTGCCAGCAGACCCTGGTACTTTCTGACTTCTTTTGCTGGCACCAGCTGCCGTCCTAAGTTTGACTTGCAACGGCAAATCTCTGCACTGAAGCTAGGCGCCTCTTTCTTCTCGACCTCAAGCAGCATGTACTCCTCCTGCGTCTCGTCCTTCCAGAGCAGGCATGCTGCTTGGGTGGCCCTCCCCCTTTTTGGACTGTTGTGTTGTGGCCCTCCGCCTCCATCGCACATCTCTGCATAATCAATTGGTCCCAAATGTCAAGAACTCAGGGTTCTGCCCCGGGTTCCTGCTTATTCTAACTCCTACATGGCTTCCTGGATCCTTTTTAAGGCACTTCTCCGACAACTACCCCCAAAACCCGACCTAACACTCCGGGCCTTGATGGGCTTCGCCGACACTAGCGCCCAGAAGCCCCAGCGCTGCTCCGGATAGCCAGCTCCATCACCGTCAGACTGGAACCTCAGCAAAAATCATCTACTACTACCATTACTACTACCATCACCATCCCTAGTACCATAGTACTATCTATTAGTGTCTGAAACGCGATACAAATCACACAGCAAAAAAAACACAGTGCTGCCGGAGGCTGAACCTTATATCTGGACTCGAGGACTCCAAATGCCCCTGCTGCACGTTTGTTGCCGCTTGACGCAGCACAAACAGCTTCAGAACTTGCTTGGCTGTATGGCTAGTGCAAACTAGTACGGCAGTAGCTGCTATCCAATGTTGCTTTGAATGTTGGTGCTACTTTGATCCCAGAGGTTGCAGCTTGCAGGTCACTGGACACACTGGAACTTCACTCTTGTGAGTGCGGAAGGGTTGCAGGAATGGATCAGCTGTAAAGACATGCGGAGAAACTCCGAGGACAGAGTCCTTGAAATAAGGCCCTAGAAAGGGTGCATGGACAGCCTCTATGTTCGGACAGCTTGGAATTCAAGATCAGAGTTGTTCCTATCCGGCATTGAAACTGCCTCTGTGTCTTGCTCAGCAGTAAACGGTTAAAGGACGTTAAAAATGCTGTTAATGCAAAATACCTTTGCGGTAGCGCTTCTTCCAAGTCGGCATCCTGAGCCGTAGGCTCAAACTCGCAGTAGTCGCCAGAGATCTCGAGACCTCTCAAGAAGAGGTGCTTCTGAGCACTTCCAGTGAAGGGCTAGCACAAGATTTATGACTTTCTGGTTCTTGTGGCTATATAATGCTGGATGGGACCAAATGCGCCGCTTGATGCTTTTCACACAGGTTTTACACGTAGAAATCTTACCTGCGCGTCACTTGTTGAAAGGATCTACAGTAGTGCACGTGCATCAGTAGCCCTGTTTGCGCTAATCTGGTCTTCACGGCCATGGACAGATGACAGGTCAAGATTGGCATCACGCAACCTTGAGCCCTCAGTCAGAGTTCGAAACAGTAAGCACTCAGCTCTTCCAACAGCTTCGCGAGGTGGCACCGAAGCTTTGGCGCTGTCTGGACTTCACCTAGGGGAGGTGAGCATTCTGGACAAAACCGAGCACACCAAATTTATTTGAAAGAAATTGCGAGGAGCTGCCTTGCAAGGCAAGGCCTACAAAGGCCTCCTTCGGCCATCAGCCACGTCTCAGGCATGGACTGGGTGCAGGTTGCGGAAAGCCAAGGAGATGCCAGGCCTTATGGAATCAGCAGGCCTTTAACACAAATCCCATCAACCTGCAGTAAGCTGTTCAGCTACGTGATGCCAGCGTAGGGAATTGAGGCCTGACTGTTCTTGCAACCTGTCAGAATGTCATGCCAAATCATGCCGTTTGGAAACCTTGGTCCAGTCAAGTCACCCACCCCCGTGCGCCTGTGGCACCCTTGTCTACTTGGCGCGTGGCGTTTCAAGTATGGCAGAAGGATTCTCAAAGAAGTCCTCCGTGAGAGATTGAAAGGTTCACGGCAGTTTGCAGCTTCGAGGCTGCTCCAACTCTAGCATTCTATATCCCCTATATAACCCTATAT